CCCCCCCCGCATTGCTGTAACAAACTTGTGCTGTCTAACAGTACGCGTGTTCTGTTTTGCGCAAGATGTAGCACGCGAAAACTCAGTATATCGTAGAAGCCAGCTCGAGATTCCACCACCGCCCAGAACAGCCCTTCTTCCCACTGCGCCGGAGAGCGGCGTGGCGGCAGACCGGCTCGCGGGCAGCGGTAAATAAAGTTTTATCTTTAGCGTGGGCCGCGCGGCGTGGCGCGGCGCGGCCCCCGGCAGAGGGCTCTTCGCGCGCCCTTCACGCGGGGCCCGCCCGCCCGCCCCACAAAGACAGCTCTGTTCCGCTTCTAATTATTTCTCTCTCTCTTCAAAGTTCGCCTCGAGCGGCGGAGGCGGCAGCGGTGGCGGAAACCACAAAATACATAAATGTAAGACTCATCGAAGAGTCGCTACGAGAGAGGGAGATCGAGGCCGCCCTTGATTCTTCGCGTCGCTCCGCCCCCGTTTCTCTCTGCGCAGCTCTCGCGGATCCTCTACGCGTCTGCGTTTCTTCAAGCAAAATACAAAATTTCCGCTCAGCGACACGAGTGTTTGAAGATGTTGCAACTGTCGGCGAACGTTAATCGCGGTTGCGATACTAAATATGAAAGAAATGCAAACGCCAAGTGGAGATACAGACTTGAGAGAAGGATGAAAACACTTGGACTGATTTTTGCCTCCAGTTATGACGCTTATTGTGAAAAGTATATTTGCAATACAATGCAATAATTAATATTCCTCGTTTACATAAATAAAATTATTGAAATAAAACCTTTGGCATATTCTTCAAGAATTTCTTTGATTTAGCCGTCGCGACAAGTGAATTGATTTACTAGCTTAATAATAAACAAAAATATAATTCAGGGAATTCAGATTCCTTTTATTATTATTATTATTATTATTATTATTATTATTATTATTATTATTATTATTATTATTATTAATTATTAACATTGTTATTAATATTTCTAGAATACAATATTTATAATTAAAATTTTTCATAGTTTGAACAATTTTATTTTTCTCAATTCCTAATGAAAAATTCCCACTTCATTTGTGGGGAAAAGAGAAAAAAAGAAACAAGGAATATTCAATTTTTCCTCTAAGCTGCAAAATACAATATCTTTCCAGACTTAAAATTATTATAAATAGTTATGAACATTTAGAACAAATGAAACCATGTTTTTAAAATCGTTCAAAGCATTAGCCATTCCGAGCAGAAAACGAGCCGGCGTCTCCTGCTTTATCCCAGTCGCCCTCACGTCTAACGTTATCAAGAGTTACAACCGTTCATACGTTTCAACCGTTTCATAAGCCTGTATAGTCCTAGGGTGAATTGCCTTCATCCTGCCAACATGTACAAGTTGCGACAATGGCGTGCTGGTAACAATACAGTATCCAAACCTAATATCGTAAAATCAATCTAAAATTATCATTAGGGAAAACTCAAAAACAAATTCATATCGCAGCGGCGTCAGTTTTGCCTTGGAGCCCGCCTTGTCTAACCATTGGGCGACGGCCACGGTCGGCGGCGCAGTGCGGTGCGGCGTTGGCCCTCGCGCCGCAAGTGAACGAGGGAGCGAACGAGCTCCTTCGAGAAGACGGACGGCAGGTGCGAGTCCGTCCGCGCGTTCCCACCGCGAAGCTGCAGAGGGCGCTGTCGCCCGGTGAGATGTGGGCGCCCACAGTCGACGCGCGTTACCGTCACTGTGACCCCGCCCCCGGCCCGGCTCCGCCCCACCCCGCCACGCCGACGACCTCTCCTGGTCACCGCGGACGCTACAACTCGTGGTGTCCTCCGCTACCCCGCCCCGCCCCGCCCCGCCCGCGCTTCCGCCGCCTCGACCAGTCTCGCACGCCTACGAGCGCCTTGTCCTCTCCCGTTCACGACGCGACCTCTTCGCTGGAGCTGGCACAGCCATCCTCGACGCGTGTTCTCTCCGCCGCCGTTGACGCTCTTTGTTTTCACTAGCCAACTATTACAATTTTTGGTTTCGGTTTTCACATTTCAATTTACTTCAAATAATTATTTTGACCTCACGCAATGTTTTTCTCCCTTCCCAACCCACAATTTAAATCATTAAAAAATAGTTATATTGGTGCGCCTCGAATATTCATTCTAATTCCGTACGATAGTGATTCACTTCACCCACTAGTTTTTTTTGGGGGGGGGGTGCAGCCAAAATCTTCATATTGACATTATGTTTTTCTTGTGAAAATTACATTTTACACCTCTGTATCCAACACGAATGGGAAATGTAAAATGACTGCTGTATCTTAACTTTTAGAATTTGAGAATTTTTAATTTGCAAAGCATACGAAACATTTTTATAATGTTTCACAAACGATTAATCATCGCATTTAAGTAAAATATAGTATTTATAACATTATGTAATTTATTTCAGAACATATTACGTCATTCCAAATACCTCTTAAAACGTTAAAACTTCCCAAAATTATTTTGTAATGAAAACGAAAAGATATCTGTTGTATGGACATTTTTATTTAATTACAAGCATACAATTATTTATTCACAGGACATGATCCCCAATTCGTGGACTCGCAAGCAAATCACTGAGGTGGTCGACACTTGCGGAGCACCACATGGACGTCCTGTGCACGTCCAGCAGCGTTTTCCGCAGGTCGATGCATCGCGACGAATGGGTCCCGGGCGCCCCACAAGCGGTGACCCGCTGCACAACAAACGGGGTCGTTTGAGAAGAGAAACGAGGGGGGACACAAGGAAATAGTAAGAAATACGGTGCCCCGTTGAATTATTTCTGGGGTGGCGAGAGAAAAGTCCCGTAGGAAGAGCTCAGGACGTGATTGATGCAACACAGCCGTATTTCTACTAGTCCACGAAAATGGAAATTCCGCACAGTTCATATTATTAACGGGATAAACCAATAACCTATTCGCCAATTTCCCTCTACAGTGAAGGATTTAGTTATTGGTGTTCATTCCAATTTTAAAAATGACACGGTAACGAATCTTCACACTAGCTACACGTATACACTCATTAGCAAAACAATAATTTCTCCACATACACACAAATCCTGTAATTATTTCTACCAATAAATAGACACTTCTCTAAATGATTACTTAAGGCCAATAAATAATGTATGCAAGTCTAATAAAATCTAAAAATCCATCCACGTATTAGTATTGTAACCATTAGATTCGCTAATACCTTCGATGTTGATGCGATTTATAATAAAAACTCAGCAGCCTTCCTACCGGCCAGTTGTAGGAGAGGAGAGATGTATTGAAGAAAAACTACCTCTGCCAAGGTGAAAGTGTTAGGTTTCATTGTTTAATTACGTAACGAAGAAGTATACGCAAGGAAATAACAGTGATAGAAAGTACACACTAACATTTTCAAAGTTGATTTTTGTTTTCAATCGCACACAAACTCTTGAGATCTTTAAAGAAACAAATAAATTGTGCACATCTTAGTAGCATAATGGAATACGAAATGGAAATACTTGCCATAAAACAAACCGATAGAAAAAAAACAAGAGTGAAATTTTAAACAATGAAAATATCTGGCAGAATATATTAATCAAACACGACTTTACCAAACTATTTACAAAAATATTTGTTTAAGAATTGAGTAAACACGAGAATTTACAATCGGTACCTATTTTGAAATATGTAAAAATGGAAACAAAAAAAGGAGAAGCAAAACGTGTTTTATTGTAGGAAGACCGAACTCATTACGCATTGCATGTCCATTGCAATCTTTTATATCCACCCTCAGCCATTAAACAAAAAACACGACGCCATCGAATAATCTCACAAGTAGAGCTGGAAAGGAAAACTTCCCCGGGCATCAGGCTACACTTTTCTTTTCTACGGCTCCACGCGAGCACACACAAGCGCCTGCCAGCCGCTGCCGCCCGTTCCAGGCGCGTGCTCACGCCGCCGCGCGCTCACGGGTTCGCGTAACACGTGCCGCCACCGCCGCCACCACTACTTTCCACCGTTCCGCCAACGCAATGAGTAAAAGCGAGCGCGGCCCGTCGCCTCTCGCGCGCTCCTTCGATAACGCGAGCACACCGCGAGCGTCCAGGGCGACGCCTGCACCTCCGTGCGTGCGCACGGTGGCGCTCACCGGATACGGCAGGACGAAAAGTACTCAGGGATCCTCGTGAGTAGAAGACTATCACGGAAAACACGTGCTACTACGAAAAGAACAGGATTAAATATATTACCGGCTTAACCATTGAAGTAAAAAGATTCGCGACCATTAAATAAATTGAAGAATGTTCCGGATCATGGGATTTGGTCGCACTGAAAGTTCAAAACATTAACACATTTCAGTTTGCTAATGTCTCGGCATATTTAATTCCACGTGCAGAACTATTAATGCACGCAAGAGCAACAGTAATTCTTCATTCCACCCTCAACACTACTAAGTTCTGCGAAGTGACTGCTCTGACAGCTCCACTGCAGTCGACAGGAAAGTGGAAAATGAAGGGCAAAATGATGCAGTGATGCTGTGTGTGGGTGTGTTGCCCTTAATTTTACACGATGTAGGTGTCTAATAAAATGTGTAAAGATGACCATAAAATCATGCCATTTTGTTCCTACACGTTTTCTACAAATATAAGAGTTCGAATGTGTAAAATAATCATTTCGCCTAAAATATCACAGGAAATCATTTATTGCGACAAAGCCCTTTTCGATCGCGTAGGGTTTATTCTCGCGTAGAGAAATATCTGCAGGATTCGCCAAAAATTATTCACAAACGGGTTCTGAAGATGACCTCTGTGCCTTCGATAATAACCTCGCAGTAAAAATAATCAATAGCATGTAAATATGTCACCGCCAATTATGAGTATTTTTCCTTTTACCAGCAACTTCACAAATCGTTTCGAATTCCCGTAACGCTAACGTGAACGACCGAAGTGGCTTTATCGTCAGCCAGACCTGCATCTCAATTCGAAAAGTTACTACTTTGAATACTGCCCGGCGCCAAAATATTTGTTGCCGGCCTGGTTAGCACAGGTCGCTAAGGATGTAGGGCGGTAGCTGCCTCGGCTCGAATCCCGCCTCGGCCATGTATATTTGTAGGTACTCGTGTTGTCATTACGTGTCGTGTTCCCCTACAGTTACCCCAACGTAAAAACAATCGAAGTGGTCGCTACATGACCTAGTAAGTAAAAAGTGACCTCAATTGTTTTTTTTAAATTGTTACCCCTTTCGTGCGCATGTGGTTTGCTTTGCTGAGGTTGTTCACCTAATAGCCGTGAATGTCCGTAGTATATGAAGATCATTCCTTTGGACAACACTAGGTAACGGATGTCAGTTAAAAAATCATACTAATGAATAAATAGTTGTTGCCTCGTAAATGGAAGTAGTACTATTACTCCTGACACTGGCAGTCATTAAAACGGTGTGAACTATACACATGAAATACATATTAAAATACACCATTAAATAATCTCAATTTATTAAAGTAACTCCGCACAGGAGGGACAAAAATCAATTAGCGGAAAGATGTTCCAGTACATGGGTATTTCCGATATCATGATATACAGGAAATTGCCAATTATCTACTTGAAAACAATTTTTAAAACAATTGATTTGAACTCGATTGAATTGCTGTTTCTATGTTTCAAAGTTCAAAAGTAGCTATCACATGCATTATGTGGCTACTTTTTTATAAATATCAATGTTCCACATTTGGCAATATTTTTCGACTCAGAGATAAATTGTATTATTTTTGTACTTTAAAGGAAGAGGGTTTTAACCTTTTACTTTCGAGAGTTCCGCTTCTCATACAGATGATGGTGTTTTTTATTTTTATTTTATTTTTCAAATTACAATATACAATACCAATAGATAAACACAACTATTGAGAATACCGAAACGATTCCTTCTTTTAGTGTTTTAATTCAACAACTGCTAATCTTTTTTAAAACGTGCCTGACATCATTTAATGATCTAAAATTGAGAGTTAAATTACGTTTTGCAGTATTCAAAATTGTAGGTTAAAATGAAAATCGGAACGTTACTACATTAAATGTACTTTCATCACAAGCAATAAAAATAACGAGGAAAAATGCCGCTATTTTCAAGAAAAAAAATCGAAAATGTTTCGGAGTAGGGGGTTTGGAAAGGATATGTGGAAATTCATGTAACGATTCCCCCGAAATTAAAATAGCTTAATAATCTCTGGAACGGCAGAACTAGATGTTATGTTATGCGTGACACATACGTCCATTCACACATATATACATTCCGATTTCCGGGTACAAAATTGCATGAATTTCCGCGCCACCTGCACCAATCTTAACCATCATTGGAACAGCACTAAGTGATCTTACTTCTAACGTGTGAGGAGACGCAGGTCATCAGGTCTTTGAGGAGATACGGGTCAACATTGCACGTGAATTTTACGATGGAAAATTCGAGATCGTATTGTTGATTCCAATACTTTTCAGGGACACGAACAAAAAAACGTTCCTCTAAAGAATATTTACAAAATTTTGCCGTCACCACTAAAAACATTTTCCCATATCTTTTCTTCCAGCAGCTTCGAGGATACTGCACACTGCTTATCTCCACCACCGCCACTTGCCGCGAGCGTGCATGCACGAAACAAAGAGAGCGCGCGTCCCGCCGCCTTTATGTAAGTCGCTCGCGAGGAAGTCGTGTCTACGATGGATAAGAGACTATCGCTTCTTGCCGTAACATTGTTACACGCGCATTGCAAAGAAGACGGATAGTCTAGGTGCATGGCAGCGAGAAGAAAATGAAAATTAGATATCTTGTATGGCACAGACTTTGATAATTTCGGAATTTCGACTTTTAATGGCCACTTCTTGTTCGTGACGCATTTGAAACCCCTATTTGCAAATACCGTCCGATCCCTATCAGAAAACTTAAGAATACAAACGGTCGGCTGTAAATAAACACCAATAAAGTATTTTTTAAAATAATAATTTAATTTTGTTGCCTTTATATTGATTTACGAAAATAAATTTGTCCCCCAGACTTCGTACAGTGGCACAGATAATCAGATCCTAAACGTGAAATGGAATAAGATGCAAGAAACACAGAAACGGAAAGTGTTAGGCTTTGCAGTGCAAACGGAATGATTGACACGCCGACAAATAATTTATACCCTTGATGTTTCAACTCAATGATTCGTAGCTACCACGAGACGATTACTTTCTTGCACTACGGGAATTATTATTTGGTGTTATAGATGATATGCCGTATGGTAAGGTTTGGCTAAGCCATCCATGCCATGCACCGGATTCGTCTTCTTCACTAGGAGTTGAGAACCTGGGCTACTGGTAAAATACAGGCAGATTCTTTCTTGGTCTCTCAATCCTTTGTTCCGAAGACAATACGAATATTGTGAGGATCTGTGCGTTAAGGCACGATATAGACGTTTTTATATACTTCGACTGGAAATCGGACTGTACAGCCAGCAGAAATGTACTCCTTTCGATGGGCCACAACAATTCCAATATTTGTTTTATATGTTTTTTGTTCAGGGCGCTGCTTACATGTGTCTTTCGCAATATTTTTTGGCGTTTCGGATCCGATAGAGATTTCAGTCATAAATGTAGATGGGTTTTCAATATATCCTTCCGTCAGTAATGAAATTTTTAACCTTTTGTTTTATAACGGGCAGCGTTCCTGCAGTTCCGTAGTTTACAAAAACATTCATTCGTAATTGACAAGTTGCTCTGTAGATCAAAAGACACCCAAAAACAATCCTGAATCTGCTGCGCGTGACTGAACTTTGCTTGATCACGCCAGAAGTCGTCTTCTGCACTTGAGATCGAAAGACGCCATTCACTACAAGCTTTAACGGAAATTCCTGTTTTGGGAATATAGTCACTTATACAAAAACAAAACAAATAATATTTTGGACATTTTTTTTATTCACGTCCTTTATACGAGGGTTGGGCCATAAGTCACGATACTTTTTTCTTTTAGTGAGAATATGAGCAGGAGTGGAAAATCACTTGAATGGACAAGGTATAAACTAAGTGCATAGACATTTAACGCCCCATCAAAATTGTGTTTCTTATATTTATTAAGGTATTTGAAATGACAGTATTGATTTCATGTTCGAAACCATTTGGGCATATATGAGTTCATAACATTCCATAAACATCACCCCCCCCCCGTTTTAAAGGTCGGATTAGGCACATGCTCGATTACCGCACGTGCCACATCCTTCCGCAGTCACAGGTCGTCACGTACGTTGCCGATCACTGGTTGTTTTGCGACTTCGCAGAAACTCTCCTGTCCCATCTCGCGACTGTCCGGTATGGAAGGGCATTATTCCCAATCCCCAGTTTCCGACAACTAACGTGACATTCTCGGGCATTTCTCCCGTGGAGAAGGCTATCTTGGCGTATAAGTGTTGCTTGAAACGCGTTACATTCAACTGGCACGGCGGCAATCAGACAACTGATTTCACATTGTTCTCTGTGCTAATAAAGACATTCACAAAGCCAACAGTTGTTGTGAAAACACATTAGTACAGCATTTCTTTCACGCGACAAATAAAATTGTGTGATCCGATAACATTTCTTTTAGAAAAAAATTGTTGCCACGACTTCTACCCCAAACCTCGTACTTGTCTATAAAAAAAAAAAACCTTCAGATTCAAAACGCACACCAATCATTTCTATCGTCAATACTGATAATGACAAGGAATACAACAGCATCCAAATTACAACTACGCACTCCAGATTTGAGAAATCATAAACACAATTCGGAGCAACAAGACCGACAAACGAGATCTCCAATATCTCCACCACTTTCCGCACGCCTCCAGAACGTCCTTCGCCTGACGAAGGACCGCGCCTACTCGCTGAAGCACCTTCGCATCGGCCCGCGAAGCTAATCGACGCGTCGTCGCTGGGGCCCTTGTCGCGGCCGCCTGGACGCAGCGCATTCGCCGAGACAAACGCCTGGCGGGAGGCGGCGGTGGGGCGCGTCACGGCAGCGAGCGTGCAGCACGCGGTGGTGGTGGCGGCGGCGGCGCCCGGACGAAGGAGCGAGGCCGGTGACGCACGCTCAGTCGCTCGCGGGGGCCCGCGCACACACGCACGCATGCGAACGCAAACACGCGGCTGGAGAAGTGCCCCTTGAGTAAGACAAACCGGGACGCCGCGTCGGCCCACGCACGCAGGGGCGCGCGCGCTTCCGCTCGAATAAAATGTTTTCCTTAGGCGAAATTACGCTACTCTGAAGGGGGAGAAGGAAAAGAAAAAGATGAAAAATAAGAAGAAATGCATTTGGCACTTCAACTACTACTGCCAGGGAAAATCTGATTTATCATAGGCGGCGACATGTTTTGGAATGTGCTCTAGGAGCACAAGAAGTTTTAAGAATGATCGTAAAATGCGGGATGATTCCAATCATTGACTACTGTACAATAAAACTATTTGCAATAGCGCTTAGTACAATAAGCAAAATCGCAAATATTTATTTTATATTTTGATAAACGAAATGTTATACACAGTATTATTCATTTGGCTATCAATACTGAATATAAACTTGCTTGCTTTTTTCAGAAATTTGAATTCAGAAATAGATGATTCATAGATGGCTTTCCCATTAGTTTTCACAAATTGATACCATTTGAAATATTTCACTCATGAGGAGGATTACGAAAATTAATTACCGAAAATATGAAGACCGGCATAAAACCAGCTAGTAACCACCGGTAATACAAAAAGAATATCCAAACTTTATCACTACATACTGGGGTGACGCTCTTGCCTTGTGTAAAACCAAGATCTTGAACGAAAGGAGGCAAATACAAAGCAAGCAATATGAATACACCAGATAAACTGAAAACTGATTTCGGTCCTGTCTTATTTTACAAATAATCTCTTGAATCCGAGGCATTCGCGCCAGTGCAGCCATAACGAAAAAAAGAAAACTCCGATTCATCAGATAAAACATTACACACCAACGGAACACTATCTCAACAGCAATAATATCTCGCGCCGCACAAAAACCCATTCTAGGCACTCTCACTAGAAGATTCGCGTAAGTGCAGACTCATCGAGAAGCACATACACGTCACTTATCGCGCCGCGACTACTTCGTATCAACGTCTGTATCAAGAGATCCAACTTTTTATTACCGTTACTCTTTCCAGGGTCGATAAACGCCTCGGGAGGCTGGCACGGCTCGGTTCGGTTGGGTTCGCGCGCCTCCATACACGCCCAACCAGACGCACGGCGATCACGCACCTCACGGAGAGCGCGTGGCGCGAAAAACCTCCGGCGGGCGCGGCGCGCATTTCTCTTTTTTGCCGCCTCTTTTTAACAGCCACTCTCCGGCAGCTGCGACTGCCGCGCGGTAGGCCGGCGGTGAGGGTGGATGTGGACGCGCGGAACGTCCGAGCGCGACAACCGCGGGGGCGCGGCGACGCAGGCAGTGTGAGGGGGGCGAAGAGAGAGTTTCCATTCATTTCCGTGGCAGTGTCGAACGTGGAATCCCGAGTAGGATGCGTAATAGGTAGGCCCTCAGTCGTCACTAACATTCATTATGAAGGCAAGCCAATAAAGTCGATTACTTAAACTGCTCGTTGTGGAGTTAAGAGTTTGGTTACAATCGAAGATGATGGGTTTTGAAGAAACACGCTCGATTACCGTTCTCCGACACAACCACATAAAATCTCTAGGAAAACTTAGTTTTAATAGATAAAAAAAATCAGAAAAGCAGTCATGTGATGAATTCAGTGGTCGACACAATATAAAATGCATTTCTATTTGAGAAAATAAACTTCATTAATTAACTACAATCCGAACACATGACTTTGTATGTGTACTAATGAGGAAGAACTGAAATTTTCTGTAATACTGGAAATAATCATATGCAATACTCTAATAAATTCTTCAAGTATTTTACACATCGTAATTCGTATTTTACATTTGTAGTGTACAACTAGTTACAAAGCGTAATACAACAGCGTACAGCAGAAGAAAAGGCACTTAGAAAATATTGTCAACCGAAAAATACTATCGAACAAATCGGGAACAGGGACGCGAACGCACCTACTTATACTTTCAAACCATTCGCACGCTATCCGACGGCCTAGCTTCATTCCCCAGCGCCATACCGGCGAAAAGAGTAACAGGTCGTTTTCATTACTTTCAGCAGAAAGCCAAATGAACCGGAATGTCGTCCCCTTCCTCCCTCCAAAGTGTATATCCCGCTGCGCTGCCGCCGCCGACCTTTTCAATTACGCCGGTAATAGGATCCGCCGACAAATCACCCTGCGAGGCGCCCACGCCGCGCGCGCCAAAATAATACAGAGCGCTATGAAATGTCCGCACACCGCCCGGCGCCCTCCGGAGGGGAGAGGGCGGAGCTGGACGTCCAGGCGCGACCGGAGGAGGCCCGGGACAGGGTCAAATGGAAGGCTTTCGAGGGAGATCAAATGCAAAATAGATGGATCGTATTACCCACCCACGTACCATTTTACTAATCTCAGGTACTCAACAAATCGGCTACGCACGGTTCATTAATTGTTCACAACGTGTACTTTCTGCGGCATCTGTACTGCAAACGTAAAAAAAGTGCTGAGGTCCAAGTTAAGTTCGGTACTCAAGTAAAAATGTTATTTGCTTCAAATTTTGCCACATTCGATTCCTCACCAATTAATAGTTTTAAAATAAATAAATCTTAATTCACAAAAATTTTAATACAATTTGGCTTCCTTAAATTTCAGCAACCCATTTTTAGATAGTGCGTGTGCTTCAGGGTTTCTAAATCCACGACGGATAATAGACATTTGAAAGCTACCCTCTTGCTAATAACGTTGACAATTGTCATACTGTTAATGATTAAAAGTTTAAAAGCAATTGTTGGCAAATGGATTAACATAAAAGTTTACTCAGAGTGCGAATAATGAAAATTAAGTAATTTTGGCTTTCTCCCGACAATCACAAATATCGACAGTCGGCTCCAGAAGAAAACGCGGCGCTTCATGCAAGTGTTTCATGCGTGTCCAGAAACACGCTTCGAAAGGGCGACTGAGAGAAAGATGCTGTGATCAATCGCTGGACGAAGCCCAACAAACATGACGTCGCGCGGGTGGGGCGGAGGCCGAACACGGGGCGGTGGGCGAACGAGTGGGCGAGCGGGGTGGGAGGAGCGCGTTGAAAGTCACCGCCCACCACGGCCATCCTCGCAGTCACCGCCACCACACGCCATTTTAACCCTGTCTCTCGCATCTGTACCAATAATTCGAAATGCGCACAAATACACGCCAGCCATTAAGAATTACATCAGCTAAACAACGACACGGCTAACTACATGCATTATGCTTTGTTCTGCTAATCTGAAATCAATATGATTAATGGGACGGTCATAAAATCCACCGCCGGTCAAGCTTATTAGGGCACAAACAATAGACTGATGGAGATAATGACTGAAATGGTATTTTGATGCCAATTTACATTGTTGCAGGTCAGGATAATTAATTTAAGGTAATATTACTCCTGTTTTCTATGGAAACAATAGCCGCTGTTTGGGCCCGGGGAGATTAGTGTTATGTGTCACTATTATTGGTGGCTCTCGCACAAATGCAGTCGCCGTGCGCGCTAACAACGTCCGTTCTACGGGAGAGGAGGGGGCGGCGCCATTATTAGTGTGTCAAGCCCACCCCCCAATAATGCGCATTACAACCGGCAATAATAACACAGTTGTCACTGTTGACATGACAAATAAGCCAATATGAGCCGTTATTATCCCGGGGTATTCTTATCTCCGGGGGGAAGCCGAGAGGCGCGCGGCGGCGGGGGCGGAGCGCCCTCCTACACCTCCGCCGCCGCCTCGTCCCAAGAGGAGGAATTCGCATTATAGCGCGGCAAACTGCCTGCCGGCGCCCACGGAATGCCGGCCCGGCCACAATGAACCGCTCGCCCGCCCGCCCTCCAACCAGGGCGGGGCGGGGTGGCAGGCAGGAGAGGCAGGCGCCTGGCGGTGGTGGCGGTGGCGGCGGCGGCGCTCGGCAAAATTTGTCACCGCTAGTCAACTAGACGTGAACACTGAAGCCGCTGAAGCCACCGCCGTCGCCGCAGCATCACCGGCTTGTCGGCCTGCCCGTCCCCTTGCGGAGCCGCGCAACCAAGAGGAGGCGACAGCGACTAGAGAGGTAGGAACTTCCCACGAAATCCCCGAATAGTTCACGAAATAAAATGAAGATTAAACTCTTGCTCGTGATCGCGATCCTTTTCACCCCTTGCAACGGGAGTTTGCTCTCTACGCGATTTTGACTCACTGCAATAATAGCGAAGCGCCATAGGGTCTATAAATTTGAGACGAGAAATTACAACTATCAGAAGAAAATCAGCTGACATGTAAAAAATAATTTAAAAGTAAAAAGTTTTAAATGTTTAGACAAGCTGTATATAAAATAAAAATTTCCCCAAATAGTTTTAGAATAACACAATTTATTATTTACTCCCACTGGGAAAGTAACTTACGTCAACTAGAAGATCTCCGCTTTTCACAGCGTCACCTCGATGCTAACGTTTCAGTTGAAACACGCTCACAATTATTATTATAATACCACAAACAAGTGCACATATCTGGGTGAATTACACAGTAATATCACAAGAAAGCAAATAAGTTTCTTTAGACCCTAACTAGAGCGAAGATCCTTTCAGCTTCTTCACTAATTTCAGCGCCTGAGAAACGCCCAGTGGAAACCTGCAACTACGACGCCCGCCGCAATCTTCTCGCAAGTTCCGCCCGCGTCGCGCGAACCGCAACTTTCCTCAGTTTCTGATCACTCGCCGTGTCGACGAAAATTCGCCAACTTAATTCAAACCGCACGTCGAGTGGCATAGGATACACAATTGGATACCTTGAAAACGCCCAAACCAGTCGCCAAACTGATCTAAAAAAACGAAGAATCATAATGAAAACATGATGACGTGCCACTTTTTCAGATGTTGCTCGGCGCCAAGGCCCGAAATACAGATTCTCTCACTGTTTCTGCGATCGCTCACGCTAAGACACGCAGAGGTCGCAAAATATTTCTTCTGGTACTTAGTTCCTGCTTTATGCTAGAAGTTGTAAAACACGACGC